TTTTTTTTTTTTCTAATAGGCTTTAGAAGGAATAGATAGATTATTTAATATATTTATAGGTAGTTATAGGTAGTTTTTTAATTTTTGTAAAAAAAATATCGAATTTAAAGAGAGTGTATAATTTGCATAATTATTAAATTTATATATATAATATTGAAAAAATTAATATATTACAGAATTGTAAAGAAAACACATTTGGTGCACATTGCAACGTTTGCGCTGATAGTTTCTACGGTCATCCGGAAATAGGAGGCTGCAAGCCATGTCCATGTCCGCAAGTCGATAAGAGATTTTCAAGTACCTGCGTGATTCGTGCGAACAATGAACCTATTTGTCACTGCAAGCCAGGTGTGTAGATAAGAATATGAAAAATAATTCGCGCATGTAAAAATAAATATAAAAAATTAATTAAAACATTTATCTAATTTATTTTAATATTTTAACTCTTAGATCGTCCAAAATATTTGACACAAAATCTTGCGATTTTCATGGGTGTTCATTTTGTATGCATAATATTTAAATTGTATTTTCTTTAAAATTATAAACGTTAATTTTGTCGAAACTATTAAGTTCACTTTATGAATTATCACGTCAGATTTCAGGATAGAATTTTATTTATAACTTTATATGCTATATATTTAAATGTCTATCTATTTTAACATATATTTCATTTATATATGTATTCTGTTCCTTCAAATATTTTTTGTATTACATGACATATAAAATTGTAAATCGAATTTCATTCTGAAGTCTAATACGAATTATAACTTATTTTTAAAGTGGGCTTTTTTTTATTTTTCTCGTGCGTTCTCACCTTGGGCTTGTCGCAGGCTATGTCGGTAGAAAATGTGAACGTTGCGCCTATGGCTATTACGGCTTTCCCGACCTTCCGGACGGCAAGTGCGTTCCGTGCAATTGCAACTTGGCAGGAAGTTTAAGTGACGGCTGCGACGGCGAGACAGGACAGTGCAAATGCAAGATCGGTTCTACAGGCAGAGATTGCTCCCAATGCACAGCATATCGACACGTTTACATAAACAATGTTTGCACTTGTAAGTTGATTCACAAATTGATTCTTTGTCTTAAAATTAAAACATCTGTATCAGTAGATTTAGAAAGTTAGAATTTGTTATCTTATTTTACTATAAATCTCTTTATTGAATACACTGCTACACAAATTCGTTTTATTATATTACGTTGTGCGAAATGTTTAGCATGCAATGACAATTGCACGGGAATTCTGCTCGATACTGTCGCGATGTTGTCTGAGGAACTGGCCGGTGGAACGAGTCACATAGCAGACGGATATATTCCACCCCCGTGGGAAGAACTGTCGTATATCGATTCCAACATGACTACATATCTTGAGGAATTGGAGCTGCGAACTCGTCTGCAGCAAAGAATAAGGAACGTACCGTGGCATGAATATAGAAAACTTGCACAAGATGTTGAAACTATGTTAAGAAATGTACGTCTCTCTAATATTTTTAAATAATAATAGCATAATTGTTTATTCTGAAATCTGACGCAAATTGATCATCTACAATCAGCTTTACATTTTCTATTTTATTTTAATTTGCAGCTGAATAAGAATGCGAAACATGCCGATACTTTAAAGACTAAAAGCGGCGATTTGAAAAATAATATTTTTACAGCAAAAATTATGCTTGATAATTTAAGAAGAGACATAGAAGGTATATTATTATAAAAATAATTTTAGTTTTAATTAATTTACAATAATTGCGCTGCAATGTAAATATTTTTAGAATAATCTTTTTTCTCAAACTCCAGATACAACTTCGGAACTCAATCAATACAGTAACGACAATAGGAGAATAGAAATTAAAAAAGCCTTAAAAACTGCTAAGGCAATCTTGAATTATCTAAAGTCCGTCGACATAACCAAGAGAACTACAGAAGTGGAAAACTTCCTCGAGTGAGTATTGTTTTGATTTAATTAATTTTAGAGAAAGAAAAGAAAAAAAAATTAAATTAAAAAAAAATAATTATATATAATATTAATAAATAATATGTTCTTTCTTTTTTATTTAATTAGCGGTGTTACCAAATATGTAGCGTGGCTAAACTCTCTTCATGACGCGACTGAGCCTTTGACGGTCGCTCAAAATGACGCTAAAAATTACGAGATGAAATTGAACGATATGCGAACGATCGTAGAAAACACCATGGAAACACTATTCAGCTACGACAGTTTGTACAACCATATCAACGGGACATTCATCGAGGCCAAAGACCAATGCGCTCGTATAGGGATATTGCGCGATGAAACGAATGAAACGATCACCGAAGGGAAGAAACTCGTCAATGAAGCTCGCGATCTACTTGTCGACGCAGAAAATAACATTCAAGTAAGTAAAAATATTTTCATATTTATTTAAAACAATTTGTGACAGTGATAAATAGGAAAGAAATCATACAGAAAAAACGAGACATGTATATAATAAATAACTGAATTTTTTATTGATCACAAACATTAAGAATCTTATTCTTATAAATATGATTTCCAGAATCTCTCAGATTCACGCGATAAATTAACATACTGGACGGAGAAGCTGAGCATGAAGGAAGAACTTTTGTATCGACTAAATTATGAGTACGACGAGAAGTATGTGGTGCCAGCAGTGCAACATGCGAAGAATCTATCCAGCTACGTCGATCAATATGTCAGGTATTTAAGCATCCTATTAGCATAATTAATTCGTACAATTATATCGCATTAAAGCCAAAGCGAGTGACTTTATCTCAACGATAGCGAATGATATAGTCATTGACGATTCAATAATGTGATATAATTTTTGTTGAATAGTTTGTTCGCCAAGACACGAGATATTGCAGCTAGTCCCCTGAAGGCAAGTCAGGCCTACAAGAACATTGTCGACGGTTTGCAAGCGGCGAAAATCACTGCGCTGGCAGCCAAGGAAATCATCGAGGATGTGCACAAAAAGGTAAAACATGATTATACGATTTTCTTTGAATTTAGGATTTTTATATTTTTATTTTCCTCTTTATTAAACTGATACGTTTAAATGCTGTAACTCTATTTCTATTTGTTATATAAAATAAAAATAATTTTTCGAATTATATAACTAATTATATTATGCATAATTACATTAAAATAAAATTATTCTATGATATTTTTCTGCTTTAATTTACATTTGAAATTTTTTAATTTTAAAATATCAAGAATATTTTTGAGGCACATTTTAAATGTTTACAAAATAAAAACATAATTTTTCTTATAATTTTATATATTAGCGTGTGCAATCAATATAGATTTACTTAAAAAAATATATTGTTGAATGTTTGAAAATAAAAGAGCTTAGCTTCAAAAATATCTGCTGTATCAATTATCAATATTTCTATTTTTTTTTATTCTTCCTAAATTCTAGTTTTATGCTTTTAATTTAAATAAAGTATTAATATAATTTTATAATTTTGAGAGTCGGCTATAAATATAATGTAGATGCTTTTTCAAGGCTTTCCCTTCTTCGGGACAGAAATCGTTACTGGATAATGCTAAGGAAGTATTAGCTAAATCTTCGCAACAGTGGGAAGTGGCGAAGGAACATGGTAAACTAGTAAAAAATGCAAACGCCAAGTTGAATGCTCAGAAGCAAGCCGTGCTGGTATTAAAGGATTCGTTAAACAACACTGGAATAAAGGACAACGAGATAAATGTGAAATTGCGAGAATTGCAAAGTAATAGCAAAAAATGTAAGTCTATATCATATGTTATTATAATGTTATTAATAATTTCAAAAAATGCAGTTGCCGAATAAAAGATTTTAACATTATATTAATGAGAATTTTTTTTTTTTTTGAACAGTACATGAGGATCTATTAAATATCTTGGAAGACAACAATGAAGTAGCAGACTCGGTAATGAATACGCAACGATTGATCGACGATTACAAGCAAGGCATTGCTGACAGACTGAAGCCGAAATTGCACGAATTGAAGCGCGAAGGCGATTCGAAGATAAGCCTTGCCAGTGAAAAATGTAATATTTCTTTTCAAAGTTAATGTATATGTATACTTGGCGAACGTTTTCATATTTTATACGCTATTGTTAAATAATTTTATTGTTAATTAAGTATTAAATTAGTGAAAATTGTTAACTATTATAGAAATATGTGTATTTTAGTGACGGAAGCGCTGAGTAATATTAAGAAAGCTGATGCGAAGCTAATAAGTCTATCAAACGTTGCAATGAAACGAAAAGCTGTTTTCGATAAATGGAATGACACATTAGCCACGAAATTGCAAAATCTCAAAGACAAAATTGCAGAAGCCCGAAATACTGCCGAAGGGGTAAGAATAATAATTATTTTGTTCTTTGTTCAGATATATATTTATAAATTAAAATAAAAGTTTTGATTCTCCATATTTAAATGTCTTTATCATACATTTATTATTATGTGCTATTTTTGTTATATTATATATCTTTAAATTTCTTAATGTAAAACAATTTTTAAGGATAACTCATTTAATTGATAATTTCCGACATAACTTTGAGTAATTAAGAATATAGTACACTTATTATTAATAAAATGAAAAAATTATTAAAAAATTAGATTTTTCTATAATCTTTATGTTTTTCAAAGTAATATAAAAGATTTGGCTCAATACCTGTGACTAAATATCTAAAATAAAAAATTATTTTAATAAGAATTAGACATGTTTTTAAAAAATAATTAAGATAAAATAAGAAAATTTTAAACCTATAAATTTGTAATACTGTCAACAAAGTTAAAATGATTCTTATTGAATTGTTTAACGTACATTGATTTTTATATGGAAAGTATAAATTTCCAATTTTACTTTTTGCACCATACAATTTTTTTTATACATCTTTAAGACTGAATAATTGCGATAAATAATTTTTGAAATATAAGTTTTTATATTTCATTTTGTTTTTAGATCCGCGTTTCTGTACGATCAGTGGAAGGTAAAGAATGCATTCGTTCATACAGACCAACGACGTTGCAATCCTCGTCAACGACGTCGATTATAATAACATTCGCGCTTCCAACTGCACGCAAAGAAGGTTCCCTGTTTTACTTGCCTAGTGGAATTAACGTAAGTTCTAGAATAACAATATTAATTTAGCGATTAGAGCAATTAACTTCGCATAAAATAAAATATATACGAATTGTATAACAAATTGATTTTTAAGTTCTAATATTTTGAATTTTTTCAGGATGATTTTATCGCTCTAGAGATATTTGATAAAAAGGTACGATTCTTATGGAATGTCGGTGGTGGTACAGGTATACTAACACATCCTGAAGTTCTTGAAAGCGGCGATCTGCAGAATGACAGGTCTTGGTATCGGATTGAAGCTGAAAGGTAAATGACAATATTAGTATGAATATAATTAATTAATATATAGTATAAATATAGATAAATAAATATTGATTGGAATTTGTGAAATATGTAAAGAATAATTCACACAATGTTATCATTAATTAATACGAGAGAAAGAAGCTGATTTCAAACAATTTGCTTTTTTATCTTAGAACGCGACACACAGGCAAGCTGAACGTGCACAAGCAGTTTTCGACGTCCGGAAAGTATCTTCCTGTCATAAATACGACTAATTCTGAATATGGTCGTTTCGACGTCTTGCCTACAGACCGAGTATGGATAGGAGGTATCCCTAAATCGCAAAGAAGACCAACAGAGTTGATCGCTGGTAATGGTCTTCCGGGTTGCATTCATCAAGTAATCCTCGATGGAAAGCATATCGGCCTCTGGAACTTCATCACAACAGCACCAGATATGGCTTGCAAAGCTTGTGTAGAAGGGTAATTAACCGAAAATTAATAATCAAATTTCTTTGATGTTTATATTTATTTATTATATGTATAAATTCTGCATATCTCAAATATGTACATTATATCATTTTATATTTTAAGTTCTTTCGATCTGATAATTTAATAATACAAAATGCTTGTTTTTCGATATTATTTTAACAATGATATTATTAATGTTACAGAGTGGAGGATGCCAAAGATGATATAGCTTACAATTTCAATGGAGAGGGCTATGCTGTGAGAAACAGAGTCTCATCTGGTCCATATAATAAATACATGTTTGGAGTCTCGATTAGTTTTCGAACATACGACGAGAATGCATTGCTATTTTTAGCCATTAACAAAGATGTACGAATTTATTTAAATTTCCTCATTGTATTTTAATATCAAGAATATATTTTTACATCTTTTCTTAAGAAAGAGATAGTAGATGAAAATAAATTTAATTCACATTATATTAAATTTAAAAAAAATTTATATATATTATTATATTTAATATTTAATTAATAAAACATTAATTTAATTGTATTTATAATATTCTGTTTAATTTCTATGATATTATTTATAAATAGAATCAGCACATCATGATTTCCCTGCGAGAAGGCCGAGTGATCCTCCATGTCGGTTACGGCGGAAATGTGAGCATGGAGATGTCCTCGACTTACAAATACAATACTGGCAATTGGACAAAGGTGGATGCATTCCGTCAGTATCAATTACGCAAGAACATCGAAAAATGCAGCCTTAGTATCGGTGGTGACGACAAACGAATTGGTGCGCCCACACCACAGCCCACGAAAGAAGATATTCCAGATTTGGCGCAGGTCAAGTATTACATCGGCGGGCTGCCACCGAGCTTCCGCGCAGAAAAACTAATGTTACCCTCGCAAGTGTCGTTCCTCGGATGCATGGCTAATATCGTAGTGCAAGAGGGTTATGATCCAATGGCCGAACAATATTACGGAGTAGAATCCAGTTGTGGTAATAAAGTAAGTATTATAATTTATTCTTTAAAATAGATACAAATCAAACATTCTATTGGAATTTGTTCAGATGCAACATTTTACGTATCAAAATTATACAAATCACTTTTGTTGTCATAGCCATTGAAAATAGTTGGATTTTATGGAGATGGATATCTCGAGCACTCAGCGTTTACTCTGCGCAAGATTCAGTCTGTTCTAAGCTTCTCCTTCAGAACCATGCAGGATGCAGCTATGCTTCTTCTCTCTACGTTTGAGGGCCATGAAGACAGATTGAGTGGTATTCTCAAAGAAGCTGTAAGACTTTATTACACTTTATCATTTAATTTTTTTCTTATTATAAAAAGAATCACTATATAATGAAGTGCACAAAATGATTTATCGTAAATGCTGCAAAATAGTCCTGAATACCTCTACTCTAAATAAATTAATAATAAATAAAAGGACATACTAATATTCATAAACGTATAAGCAAGATATGCAACAAAACATTATTCGTACATACATTTTATTGGAAATAAACTTTATTCGCGTATTATAATTATCAAAAAATTTGAAATTAATTTGTTCAATTAATTTTTTCAGAAGGACAGCTATTACTCCGTGTGTATTCTCAATGGACAAGTGCAAGTTCGTTTAAATGCTGGCCATGGCGAGCTGGTTCTCCAATCGAATAATACTTTTAACGACGGAAAATATCACTCGGTCACTGTCATTAAGAAAAGAAAGGAAGTGGAGCTGAGAATCGATGACGCATATCAAACATCAGGAAGATTGCGCAATAGTATTGCGATCAAGGCTCCCAGTTCGAACGGCGGACTTTTCTTTGGCGGATTACCGGCGCTCATCAATAATACTAAAATGGTCGCAACTAACACGCCACTGTATGGCGCTATCAAGGATGTGATTTTCAATGATATGTAAGTCATTAAGCCAAGTTCAAATAAATTAAATATTGTTTATAATTTTTTGGAAGATAATAAGTCATAAATGATTAAAATTTCGACGTATTAAAATTACATTACATATATATCATATATATATTTTTTATTTCAAATTGTACTGTATAAAATAATTGTATTTATGGACTTTTTCGATTTAATTTTTTAATTTAAAAAAAATTAATTTAAAAATTAGAAAATTAAAAAATTAAAATTATTTCTTTATTATATCAGTTTGAAGAGACTGTATCGATTAATTTATAATTTTTTTTTTTTTTTCAGAAATCTTCGATTCGACGATGCAGTTAATTTTGATCACGCTCTAATCGGTCGTTCCGGGCCGAGTATGGGAAAAGAAACGCCAAATTACGTACCATCAGCGTCATTGTCTCGAGGAATGTCCACACAACCTGAAGGATGCCAAAAAGTGCCTTATTATTCGCTAGAACCAGGTGCTTTGAAATTTGGTGATAAACCACATAGTCATACGCAGCTCTATCTCAACTTCAAGAAATTCTGGGAAAAGAAATATGCGATAGAATTCGATTTTAGGACGTATTATCCCAATGGATTGCTGTTTATCACTCCGGTAAAAAAAAACATATGATGTAATCATGACTTTACTAGTTGACAATTTTTTATTTATAACTAATTTAAATGTATTTCATTAAATTTAAGTTGAACAAAATATACATATTTTATAACAACTTTCCGACTTTTATAACGCTAATTTTTCATATAAATATAATTCTAATCATTTAACTATCGTTTTTAGTTATAACTTTATAACATTATCACTTTTATTACAAATGCATAGGGTCTTCGATTGAAACACTATTTAATGGTGCTCATCCGAGATGGACAGCTTCTTTTGGTAGTGAGAAGCAAACAAAGGAAGGAAATAATATTTAAGACACCATTTAATGACGGTAATTGGCATCACGTCGTTATCAGTCACGAAGAAAGGAAACTCACCCTATTAGTAGACACTCAGACACCGCGTGTCATCAAAGTACCGAGAAGAATTGGTCTCGCATCCATGATGTATATCGGTGGTCTTCCGGAAAGCGGAACGCCTATCCCGGAACAAGTGGTCGTCAGACTGGAGACATTGAAGGGATGTATCAGAGGCCTGAAGATCAATGGAAATGTTTACGACATGGTGGGTTCCACCAGTAGAGCCTTCAATGTCGGCCAGTGCTTCCCAAGTGTCGAGAGCGGAGCGTATTTTCAGGGCGAGGCTTATGCTATTTATCGTAAGTCACGAAACTACTAGTAAAACTAAGTAACTTAAGTAGGAACTTAAGGAGAAATGCCTAAATCTTGGACATAAAATAAATTATCAAAAATTCAAATCATATCATTTTAATTTTTTAAATTAAAATTTTTTAGTAATATAACTTTTTTCACTATAAAATATGGCATCTTAAAAAAAATTAACAATGCAAAAGATACAAAATAAAATTACAAAATAAGATTCTCAATACTAAGAAATATTTTTTCTTACTTCGTTTTAAATCTTCGGAGTAACAATTTTGTTCTTTTAGGAAACAACTTTGAGGTTGATGGCGTGCTCGAACTTCAATTGGAGTTCAGAACATCGGAAGTGTCTGGCGTGTTGCTGTCGATTACCGCACCCAGTGGTTCACCTTCTCTGTCATTAGAACTCAATAGCGGGAAGGTGATCATGTCGGGCGATCTGGGCGACAGCAATCCGTTATACGTGGAGCAGGGCTTTTCTAATCATTACGCGATCTGCGACAATCGATGGCACAGAATCCAGGCTGTATATAACGATGAGGAGCTGGCGCTCAAGGTGGACGAGCTGGACCAAAAATACGGCTTGCCCACGAACATTAATTATCATTTAAATACCTCTGTCTTCTCTGGCCCGTTGTATATAGGTGGTATACCAGGTAAATGAATGTTACGTTAAATTACATATTAGTAAATAAACCTGCATGATAAATGAAAAAGGAACATAAAAAAGTAGCTTAACTAACATTGTTCTCATCATTTTCAGTGACTGCTCAGAAAGGCTCGCTGTTAACGCGAGACCACTTCAATGGATGCATCAGGAATGTGATGATAAGAGGGGAAAGGCGAGACTGGACGGACATGGCCGAGCTGCACAACATCCACCTGAGCTCCTGCCCGGTTCAATGATAGCGGGGCGTGAAGAGGAAAGACAATTACCTCGGCGTTCAGCGCTTTTAGTTCCAAAGACTGTTCGAAGAGTCGCGTTGAACAATTCAACAATCGCATCGAGATTAACGTGCCATATATTCGCAGGCGACGAGTTCTTTAAGACTTAACAAAGCCAAAAGATGCTAAACCGTAGACCGTTAAGCTAATCGTCGTAGCATGAAAATAAAAAAAGGAAAAGAGAAAAGGAGAGAAAGAGATCGTACGCTTCAGTCTCGCCGTGACAAACAAACGATGGCACGAATAATTTCGTCGTACGTACGCAGGTACGCGTAACGCGTGCAGACGGTGACATTTTACGCGTAAATAGAGAGATCACTGCCATATAGTTTAATTATTCACCGTAAGCCGCAAACAATTTGTACATCAGTATTTAAAAGCCATTATTTATTATCGTTAACGTAAATCCGATCACGAGAATTCGTGATCGCTGCGTCGACGAGTTAGGGAATAGAAAATAACGCGATTACGTTTTGTACTTTTATAGTTAGACATCTACTAGAGCCCGATATATTATGTACATTGTAGATTTTTTATTCGAAAGATTTATCGAGAAACATGCAAGTGCCCTGTAAAAAAGAAGTGTCCTTTAATCACGCACACAGAGAGATGATATTCGAAGAATATTTATATCTAATTTTCTCTCTCATACATAACACACGCACACGATTTTTGTTAAACTGTAATATATTACATATACACAAGGAAAATTAACAAATTACGAAAATCCGCTGTTGTGTATAAAATATATAATATAACAAGAAAAAAAGCGCATAGGGCTGTGTCGCTTTGATTTATCCTCCTTAACGCTCTAAAGATCCCTATAAAATACCTCAGAAACGCAGCTTTATGAAATTTCACAATGCAATTTTCCTCCAAAACGGAAGACAAATATTAAACACAAAGAATTGAAGTTCTAGAGAATTAAAAAAATTTTACTTTTATTTACGAATAAAATCTTCATTTTGAGATGTTTTATATTAAAAATTGAAGAAATTCTCATCAAGAGAAAAAACCAGATCTTTTAAAGAATGTGCCATTAGGTACGATCAATGCTGGATTACTTTTGATATCCATCCGCGGAAGAATAAAAGTCTATTACAAATGGGTTATTAAATTTTATTAATGACATTCGCTGCGAAGATGCTAACAGTAAATTATGACCCAAATCTTACATGACGTACTGAATAAATATACATATCGTTGAGTAGGTAGGTATACGTTTTTTTCGTTTTATGTGTATATAAAAACATAATATTTACAGAGACACGGATAGAAGTTCGAGAACTGATATTCGCCTTGACGTCGAAATTTCAGCGACAATAAAAATCGATAATTATTACGTAACAATAATCGTTTATTATTAGTAAGCGCGATTTAACTGCGGCGTACAAATTTACGTCGTGCCGCAGTACTTAATTGTGTATGTGTATGTATGTGTGTATGCCTCGATTTCCCGTCTCTCTTTCTTTCCGTCTCGGTCTATTCCGTTTTGTTCACATTTAATTGTCGCATCCAAGTCTTCTTTTTTTTTTCACCAGTTCACTAATAATATCTATTCTTCAAAAAATATAAATATCAAGCATAAGCGACCAATATCGAGAGATCTCTCTTAACATCATCATAACTTTGTAATCAATCCCATTTCCACAAGCCATTATTCTCGCTGGCTCTTAAGATTAATGACTATGTATATATTTATATATATATTAATTGCAATCAATTCATATATATCTCTTTCTCTCTCTCTTCACTCTCTTTTCAAACATTGTCATCATGAACTTACTGCAACTTGCACTTCATCTCAAAGATTTCATAATTTCTTTCTTTTTTTCTTCTATGGCGCGTACCTCACGTTCGATATTGTCAGGTCGGACTGTTTCTGAGTCTAAGATTCTCTATCTTATCGCTCTTTTTCTCTCATCATCGTACTCGGATAAATTTACAACAGACGGGGATATAGAATAGTGAACTTCTTTCTCTCTCGATTACTACAATCTCGACGGAGTTTAATCTTCATAAGTCCCTTTCATTACACATGATCGAACGGCGAAACGCGGGACGGCGAGATCAAGCCGACTACGTCCCACGCAAATTGAAGATACATAGATTATTCCTCCGCAGTTTCAGCGGAGAACACTCGATTTCGATATGTCGCGTTGTATTTGTAATTGTATCGTTAATAATCTTGTGTTTGCGTTACGCCGTGTCGCGGAATACGGAGGGTCTACCTATACTCGACACGACTGTCCGCACCGAGTCGAAGACTTATCATACAAAATAATTGAAGAACGATCCTGGAGACGCGTCGTCATCGTTAACGGAATCCGAGACCAGAAAGAAAATAATCATACAAACGATAGACCCCCAATATTGTCGTATAAAATAGCTACATGAAGTCTATCTATCTCTAGCTTCTTCTCCCCTCTTATAATATTATAATGAAAGAAACGTATCCGACCGAAAAGGCCCGTTCAGCGAGATAGGAAGCCGATGCCAGTCCCACGCGAAAAGCGAACCTCAAATTTATGGCACAATAAATTATAACAGTTTCTCCGATAAATTACGGACCGCCGCGTTCTCTGTTCGCCCGGACTGACTAAAGTTTCGCTGAGAGACGGCGGGATGTGTCGCGATTGCCGGTAAATTCCTACGGGGGAAATGTAATGTACGAGACACGGTTGAAGAAAAGTCATGCTGTCAATTCGTTAAATATTTTTACGCACTTAGTCCAATTACATCATTCGTAATATAAGGCTTCATACTGTTTTTCTTTACTTCCGAGGAAGGTAGAATATAACTGGAGAACTTGGAGTAACGAAGTTTTGTTTGGAAAAAAGCGCGGTTCCATTGATAAAATTGTTTAGACTATGCCCATCTTCCACCTTCCTCTTACATAATAAAGATTGAAGCGCGTGGGAGGAAAAAAGAAAGCACCGCGAGCCTCCCTTTCTCGACGGCTCTTCGACGAACTTTGTCCACGAGGCAACGATACTTATGCAATATCCATTTTCTGTACACAATGATAACTACCTAATCTGAAGAAAAACATCGCTCGCTTTAAAACAGCCGCTTCGGCGTAAACTAATGTACGCGCATATCTCGCACGCGTTTTTTTTTTTACAGTATAAACTTGAAACGCGTAATGTAGCTCGAACGATCGACTTTCGTCGCAAAGAAACGAATGCATCATATGCCTGGATTTATTGTAAGGCTGGTCTTATATTCGATTCTGCTAATTACGCAACGAACTGATTTATTTACAACATGAGCTATCGTTGTTCGCATCCGTTGTCACCCCGTTGGCAAAAGTTTCATCCCCCACGGAGAAAAGGGGGATCAGGGGGACACTGCGAGAATTGCGCTACGCATTGCAATCGTTAATAGTCGCGAGAAACGCACGCAGAATGAGAAATCATTAATTCAACTCCGTTTGAGCCGCGTCGAATATTCTGCCGACACGTATCCCAATCGGTAAAATATAAAGAGCAAATACATATAAAAAAAGAACAACATTCTCCCCAATTAAAAAAGGAAATTGATATAAAAAAAGAGGATCTTTTTTACAAGATTATATAATATACAAAAAATAAAAATAAGTTCAAAGTCATCGAAGTTTGCGCACGAGACACATTTAAAAATTAATGATCCCTCACATGTCCGCACGTTTTATCATACTTTAATATATTCTTTAAAAAGTTTTAAATGCACTAGATAATAATCGTTGAATTTAGAATCCCTAGCCTAGCGAAGGATGCAGAAAGACCTATGTCAATCGCAAATTACGCATGTACGCACACATGAGAACACAAGCTGCACCGTTGCCATCCTCCCTCACTCTCGCTTCGTTTGACAAAATAAATTTAGAAAAATTAACTTTCGCATTATACATATCCATGAGAATCGTACGTCCATGCAGTCGCAACACACCGGTTTACACGATTACAAGGCGGTTACATGACGAGAGTTAGTCCACAAAATTAAAGGATCTTAGGGGTGTATTGACAACAAACCATCTTATAAGTAGATACTAGTAATCTTATGACACAGTGATTGATGCTGACGATCAACGAAAAAAAAAAAAAAAACTGATAACGCAAGAAAAAGTAAAAACAAAACTCATTCTCTCTGGTATATGAGCACGCTCCCCTGGCTTTTCCACCCTTTCGGAAGCGGCGTGCGATCGAGAAACGCGGGACTCGTGCGCCAACTGTGATTATTTCTTTATGGAGTCAGCACCGATCAATTGTCCTTATAAAATTGACTAAAAACGCAACGTATTCGCATTAATTTAATATGGGCCTGTATTAAAATAGTAACTATGAACAACAGAGGGCACAGTAGCGTAATGTTAAGTGTGTGATCACTTATGTAAAACTATATGACGAGTGGTATGTCCTTCTTATTCGGTAAGTTCACCTTTTTACCTTGCCAGAGGCTGTTGTGTATCGTAAAGGCATCTATGGTCACCGTCAGATGCTTTGTGTGAACTTGCGAAAAGCATTTTCCGCTGGAATTATATCTGAAATGAAAAAACAAACAGCAATCAACAACATATAACACATCGAGAGATTTAAAATAGGGACACATAATTGATTGAAGTCTTTTGAGATAGAAAAAACGAACTTAAGGAATTGACTCTTGATTTCACTTACTTAAAAAATTTGTCGAACATATTATCGATGACTTGTTTGGGCCCAGTACCGTATAGCTTGGCTACTTCCTCCCTCTCGGGACAGTACGAATAGAGAGCGCGAAATTGGCAGCCAGCGTCTCGAAACAGAATGAGAAAGTGTTTGCTCTCGGACCGGCTTATCTCCTCCAGAACCCTCGATTTAGCTTCTCTGTTCACCGTACCGGGGAAGACACAATACTCCACAGCATTCAGCATTATGTTGCGATTTGACTTGGCTATCGGCAGTTTATACAGTCTTGGGCCTGTGGAGGCATGAAGTTTCTTAGCTTTTTCTTTTATATTAAAAAAATGTATATATATATATATATACATACACTTATGTAGATATATACTTATTGATGTCTCTTACCGTTATAGTCCATCATAGAACTAGGCGTGCTGCTGATGTCGCTGCTGCCATCGTCGTAGATCCTCTTCTTCGACGTCATCAAAGCGGGTGGCAGCGAACCGGGTCCCGATGGTGATGTTAGGTGCCTCATACTGCCTATGCCCGGACTGGCGGCGCGTCTCGGAGGCGTCGACCTGCCCAAGCCGCTGTCTGAATCTATTTGTCGACACATCATACAATCTTGATCACTACTTGCACGTTCCGCATATGAAGATGAAAATCTCAACGGAGAGGCAAACGTCTATGCGTTACAATTCTCATTAAAGAATGACGACAAATGTATTTTTTTTTTTCCTTTTGTCACCCAAGCGAATCAGAATACACAGAGATCTTTTGGTTTTATTAATGATGGTTAGCCACCCCGCCAAGAATGTATTAGTTACTTGTTATAGACACGTGCGAGATACCTCTCTTGCCTTAAGTTTAGCTTCGTAATTTGCGTTTTATTACAAAAAGTATATTTTATTATATAAAAATATTCCAAAATATTTGCAACTTTGTACTTTATAGTCTGATAAAATAATTATAAATGCTTATGTGTCTATCAGCTTGTTAAATCACTGACTGCACTAGAATGATTCTAATGTATATGTCATGATTCTCTAGTGTACTAATTGTTATTAAAACTATGAATCTCTTGATCAATGCTAATGCGATGATTTATGCTGATAGCTTAATATCAACAATTTAATCCACGAATACCACAATTTAATCCAGCTCTGCAGTTTGCGACGAAAGAGAGAAACGCTCGATCGATTATCGACATTAAATAACAGGACATAGCAAATTCATCCACGGAGTGCGTGAGTCTCGATTATACATCGCGTACGCAATGAATTTGCTATACCTCGTCACCACAATACCTGAAA